CCAAAAAAAAAAAAAAAAAAAAAAAGTGTAAAGCAGTGCCTGGCACATAGTAAGTGCTCATTAGCTGTTATTACTGCTGCTACAATCTGAGCTCTCTGACAGCTGGTCTCCAGCTACACGGCCAGGCACTGCCAGAGGGTGGCCATGGTTTGGAGCTCAGGGCAGGGGCCAAGGTGGGTGGAGTCTGCCACTCACGCCTCCGGGTGGCCCTGCGCCGCAGCCGGTAGGTGTCCTTCCCGCTGCACAGGTGGTGGATGAAGGAGCCCAGGGCCTCCTTGTCACTGACATGCTCCGTGACCACCATCTCCTCCTGGATGATGTACGTCTGCGGGAGGTAGGTCCCCCTCTGCAAAGGGAGTGGCCACAGCACTGGGTCAGTACCGGGGCTCGCCGCTCTCGGTCCCCGACTGCACATTGCGCTCGCCTCCCTTCTTCTGCTAGCTTAAGCCGAGCCCCCGCAGTGCGGGCAGTGCCCATCCAACACGCCCACCCCCTCATCCACAGGCCGCACGGCTTGCCTTTCTGACGTGCCCAGGCACTTCCTGCACCTGCACCTGCACTGCCGTGAGTCATGTGTGTGCCAGACTGGTCTCCCACCCTAGGGGGAGCGCTCCTCGGGGGCAGGGCCCCCATCACCTCCCTGCACTGCTGACACGGGGCGACGTGGCGCATGGCCATGAACACTTAGGAAGCTGGTCTTGGGGTTCTTCCCAAGTGAGGGAGGCAGAAGTGGGAGGCTGGGGGTGGGCAGGAAGGAGAGGTGTTGACTCTGAATGTGGGAGAAGGGAGCTGGAGGCGGGGGGACCAACCTGGGGTGCTGGGCCCAGCTGACAGCAATGCCCAGGCCCCCCATCCTTCCCTTGTCTCATGGAGGGGGGGCAAGGGAGAGAAGATGCTGCCAGGGCCCTGCTCACCTTCACATTCATGAGGAGCTCCCAGAAGTTGCGAGGGGGCAGCACGATGGTGGTGTTGAGCTCAATGACATAGCACTTGTCCAGGGAGATGTCGTGATAGGCAGTGAGACCCTAAACAGGAAGAGGGGGCCGCGTCAGTCTCCGCAGGTGAGGGACTGGCCCCCACGGGCTGTATGAGGCACGAACCCCACCGCGCCCATGACGCACCCAGATTCCTCAGCACCGGGGCGGGGCCCCCTTCGCCTGCTCCTCTCCTAGCCTGTGTTTGTAGAAGGTTCCACTCACTAGATGAAAACACTATTAAATGCTTCGGTTGTGACAAGGATTCTTCTTGGGGGTATACAGCCGAGTTTCGAATTTCAGGGCAACGTCCCCACTGTGCATCTCACCAAAGCTGGGAGGTCCCACCACCCCCATGGACAGCCTGGACCCTCAGCGAGAGGTGCCCCTCCCAACCCCGTATGCTGCATCTCGATAAGATGTCAACATGGAAACAACTCAGTAAAAAGGAACACTGGCCTCGCCCGCCCGTTCCAGCCAGCGTCCGCAGCTGGCAGGTGACCAAGGAGAAAATCAACCATGACTAGTTCACATTCAGTGATAACCGCATGACGTATATGATAAAAGCGGTCCTTTAAATCCCTGATTGACCTAAACCGTAGGTATCTACTCCATGGTTTATATTACACGGTATGTACTCCAAGTCTGTACAAGGGGCGTGGTTGTTCTCCTTTCACACCTGTTCCTCCTCGTGGCGCCCCCCTCGCCGCCCCCGCCCCAGTCCCTGGCTGGCCTCACCCGCTGGAAGTCGTGGATGATGTCTGCAGGGTCACCGCCCCCAAACTGGGGCACCGGCACGTTGATGCGCTCGTAGTTCTCCTCGAGGTAGATCTTTACGTCCTCCTCCAGCTCCACGCGGGCGCGGACCTGCGAGGTCAGGGAGTCCTCGTAGAGGACGCCGCAGTGGAAGTTGTCTCGGGCCAGCTGAGCGGGGCGGTGCGGGGCGAGGGAGGGAGAGAGTCTGGTCACACAGCGCCCTCCGTGAGACCACTGCTGCCTGCCCAACCACTCCCGGCTCCAAAGGCCTGGGGAGGCAGGGAGGATGGGTCTGTGACACCCATTTCACAGACGGAGAAACTAAGAAACATGGGGAGCCAGGGAGGGTGAGCCGGGTCTGCCAGTTCCTAGGAGGACGACCCCTCTGGGCCTCAGTTTCCCCATCTGTAAAACAAGGTGACCCCTCAGGCCCCTCTGGCCTCCGAGTCCATGAGTCTATGGCTGTGAAATGGGGCAGACCAGCGGGGCGACAGACACCTGAGAAAGAGCCTGGGGTGGGAGGGGTGTCCTCAGGGGCAAACAGGGGGACTCTGGATTGGACAGGCTGGGCCCTGCAGGGTGCCACCCTCCGCCACCACCAGGGGGTGCTCGCCCGCCCTTCTTGCCCCCTTTGCGAGGCCCTACAGACCTTGGAGGGAGGAGGTAGGAGCTGAGAGGCAGCCCTGTTATCAGATTCTGGTGGCACTGTGTCCAACCTCAAGCAAGGACCCACCACCTTCCCTGGATCCTGTGCTTCCTGAGAAACCTACACAAACATGGTGTCCCCTATGTGAGGGGCACGCCTAATCACTCCATCAGTAAGGGAAGGGAGGCAGCCTGGCGTGACCGAGGTTACGTGACTGACCGGTGGACTGCAGGCCCCTCCTACTTCTCAGGGCCTCATCCAGGTCCGGCCCACGATGGGCAGACACCCCTTTGTCTGTTTTAGTGTCCCGGGAGGATGAATCATCACACAGGAATCATACTGTCCCAGGGTGTAGACCCAGAGGCTGCTCTGAGGTTCCCCTACTCCCTGGGAATTGGGGTGGGGTGAGGAACCCCAAGAGGGCATGAGGGGGGGGCTGGGATCAGAGGGGAGGTCCAGGGCAGGGCCACAGGTGCAACAGGAAAAGGCCCCAGAAAGTGACAACCAGGAACAGGTGGGGAAGCAGGCCGTGGACGGAGGGGAGCTGAGGTGTCAAAGGATAAAGGTCACGTGGACTGCAAACTCTTTAGTCATTTCCACCGTAGAAAAACTGGATGACAACGAAGTCAAAGCCCAGTGCTTGAGGGTGGGAAGAGGTCACTTGGGTCATAAATGACTGGCAATTCCCAACCTTTTTGTCAACGAGATTCCCCATTCGTTATGTTTATGGTTATTCTATTAAGCAAACTTTCATTTAACTACCTTCAGTTCTGAGAGCTTGGCGGCCCTGCCTCCCTCCCCAGGCCTGGGCTGACCGCAAAGTTGCTGTGCCCAGGACCAGTTCTTTGGCCCAGCTTCGTGCCCAGATTGGTTGTGTGAGCAGATAACCAGGGTGTGATCATAGGTGGAGGTGACTATCTATAAGCCACCCTCCACCCTTCACGGTTTATAGCCCAAATGTCCACGTGTGGAGTGTAAGTCTTTAGAGCAAGATCCATGGGCACAGGGGCCGGGCTCTGAAGGGATTGCAGAGTTCCAATGTCTGCTGCACCTGAGTTTCTGGTGCTTATGCCCTGGGGTGACGCTGTGGGAAGGGGCTGCGGGCCTCACAGCCCAGATTCCAATCCCGGCTCCCCCATCACCGACTGTGCTCCTGGGAGAGCTCCCTGTCAGCCTCAGATGCATCCAAAGAGATAGGTAAGGACACTCCTCCGGAGCCCATGGCAGTCAGAGGACGGGGACCCGGTCCTGTCTCACAGACCAAGACCAGAGAGGAGGAGGCAGGTCTTCTGGGCTTGCCCGGGCACCCCTCCCACCTAGGGGGCGTGTCCAGGGCTTCCTGCTGCCCCCTCCTCTCCAGCCGGCCCACACCCAATGCAAGCGCTTGCCCTGCCCTGCCCTCTCTAAAACACCACTCTTTCTCCAAGGCCCCGCCTCCCTCCGTCCCACCTCACCTGAGCAAGGAAGAAGTATCTGTAGATGTAGACAGAGGCGAACACCAGGCCCGTGAGTAGCACGGCCATGCCCGTCGACAGGTAGCACAAGCCGCCCACAGAGCTCCCCTTCTTGTGGCGGTGGTAGGGGGGCCGCTCCTCCTGTGGACAGCAGTGCAGGGTCAGCCCCGTGGTGGCCCCACACCCCTGGGAATCCCTGCCACCCCCTTCCGGAAGTGAGTCCTCACCCTGCTGGCTGGGAAGGAGCCTTGGAGCAAAGGGAGGGGAGGACGACGCTCAGGACACAGAGCATCGTCTCTGGAAGGAAAGGAAAGCGTTACCAGGACCCCCCAGCTGTTCCCATCTAAAGAGAAACGGAGCCCCACCTTGGACCCACGGGGACTAAGCAAGCGTGTTTTGAATCACCCACGCCATTAGTCCCCTTCATTATACCAGTTGTGACCACAGTAGATTCTTTCAAATGCAGAGAGGGGGTAAGCACAGATATGGCCTTGGTGACTGAGCCAGGCCTAGGAACCTGTAGGAACTGGAGTGACTGGGCGCGCCGGGAGCCGCTGCCCTGGGCAGTGGGGACCAAGGAAGGCTTCGGAGGCAGGACGTGACAAGATCCACCTGAAAGTTGGAGTGCCCGGAGGGACTGGGATGGGGACAGCGGGGGTGGGGAGTCTGCTGGGCTCTTCCAAGGAAGCTGCGGCAGGAAACGGTCACTGACCAGTGGGGACAGGGCTCTGGGAGGCCCGCAGGGTCTGAGCGCGGGAGCTCGCGCCCTCCGGCCACCCTGGGCAGAGGCCAGCCTGCCGGGGCGGCGATGGCACCACACGGGCGCTGGCGTCGAGCAGGCTGTCAGAAGCAGGCCCGCAGGGTGAAGTGTGGAGGCTTCCGGAAGCCTCTGCCGGGAGGGGAAGGTGGCTGCCGGCAGGCAGGCCAGGGCAGGAGGTTCCTGGAAAAACCCCCTCTGGGTAGCCAGGCTCAGGTTCGGGACAGTAGCTGCCAAGCGGCAAGCCAAGCGGACCCAACTCCAGCCCACACACGTCTGGGCCAGTGGCCGGAGGTGTGTGTAAAACTCAGCAGCCCTGTGTTCCCTGGAGCACTGCACTGAGAACCTCGTGACTCAGGCTCTTCCCAGCTGTGTGACCTCGGCCATCGCTTGTCTTTGTGCCCTTCCTCGCTGGCACCCCTGCCCTAACCCGGGCCTCCTTCACCCTGGAGATGTTGCAAAAGCCCCAGGCCTGGCTCTGCCTCTGGGATCCATCATTCAGTCCCTCCTCCACGGTGTCCGGATGCAGCTGGGTGAGGGTAGAGGCCAGTGCCCCTGCCAACCTCAAGGAGCTGTGGCAGGGGGGGGGGGGGGGGCAGGAGGGGAGCCTGGGCCTTCTCACTCTGGCCCCGCCGCTAACCGTCTGCTTAGCGCTCTGTGCCCGCTTCCACTCTTCCCTCATCCTGCTTAGCGGGAGGTTGGCAGTGGGGACATGATGCAGGTCCAAGTTACCCGAGACAGGCCTTTATTCTCAGGGCACACAGGGGGCCCAGCCTGGTAGGGGTGGGGTGCTGAGCCGGCTGTGCTTGGGGCACATGGAGGTGTGGGACCTGGGCCTCAGGGAGCAGAGGGGCATCCCATCAGGGTGGGTGATGCCTCCCTGCTTGGAGCTCTCCCCTCTCCCCACACCCTTTCCTCAGGCAAAGGGTAGAAAATGCCTGAAAGACACACGGCCCCTATCACGAGGCACATGTATCACCAGGCCAGTGGCCCCCAGCCTCCAGCACCATGGGATGGAGACACAGGATGGAGAGGTGAGCTGGCCCATCCCATATCCCCTCACAGGCTGGGCCATCTGCAGGCCTGGGGCCTCTCTCCACCCTGGCCCTGCTGCAGGGGTGCTGCGATCAAAACCAGAAAAGCACCTGGTGAGACCACTCCCCTGGCTGGCATCTCCTCGGCATGCTGGGGCTCCCTGGGGGCAATAACCAAGGTCACTAGCACACTTGGGTGGCCACTTCCCACAGGGTCTCCAGGGACAGCTGCCAGTGGGAGGGGGTGGGGGACTGCAAGCGTTTTGACTTTCCAACGGGCTCCCAGGATCAGCCCAGGATGGGGCGACCCGATGACCAAGCTCTGCCAGCGTCTCGCAGGAACAAGCCACCCAGGGCCTCCAGCCATTCTCAGTGGGTCCTAAGGAAAGGTGGGTGACGCAGAAGAAAGGCCATGCGCCACACCCACTGGGAATCCTGCCCTGGAGCCACAACATTTGTATTTAGCGAGACCAGTGGGGCTGCAGGGACCCAGAGGCCCCCAGCAGGGGCTGCGATCCATGCGTGGAGAACATCCCAGCCTCCTGACCCTCCAACCCTCTGCAGGTCCTCCTGTGAAATGTGAACAGACTCTTCCTGACAGGATTTTGTTGGGATTAAAGGAGACAGAGACCCTGAAAGCCCTTTGTAAAGGATAAAGTGGTAGATAAAAATAGCAGATCTTTATCAGCTAAAGCTCTCCTTTTTTTTTAGGGCCACCACCAGCCAGCTGTCGAGGCTGCACAGTGGCCATGCTTTGCTCCTGCAAACAAGAGAAGCAAAAGCAAGCTTATGAGAATCACTTTAAAAAAAAACGGAAAACAAAAAAAAGTCAATGGGCTACAAAGCAAGAGCCCGAGGGCCAGCTCCACAACTGAAGTTCACAGACAAGGGGAGGCCTACCAGTTTCATAGCTTCCTTTCTGCTCCCGGCTGGGTCAGGTGTTTCTATGTGCCTGGGGCCGGGACCGGGCAGCGGGGCCAGGCTGCCCCAGGTGGGGAGGAGGTCAGGGAGGACGGAGAGTGGGGAGCGGCTCCAGAGGAAAATGAGGCAAGTGGCTGAGGACAGTCTCCAGCCAGGACCCCTGGATCCCACCCTGTGTCCTCACACGTCTCTGCGGGTGTCCCTGTGAAGGCTGGAGATCCCCCCTTTCCCAGAGCAGTGGACAATGGCTTCCTATCCTGCTCCTACAGACCCCTCTAGGGCACACCCATGGCTCACGCCCTGCACCCCTCCCTACCTGACACCCCTCAGCCGGGCATGCGGAGGCCAAAGCCCCAGAAGCATCATGGCTGAGCAGGAGGGATGGAAGGGAAAGCAGGCCCAGAGGCTGCTGGTGTCCCGGCTTCGAGACAGAGGCACTGGGACCCGGACGTAAAGCCCCAGGTGGGCGGCAGGCCCCTGAATCCTGCCCTCGCTGTCAGTGCTTGAAAGGTCAGCCCCGAGCTGCAGTCCTCAGAGACCTCTGGGGAGCCTGTAAGCAGCCTGGGCTAGAACCTGGGGCCTCACCCCTTAGGATCCTGGCTGCGCAGCTCACCCAGAATGACAGGAATGACGGCTGAGGGGCCTGCTTCCCGAAGCCCCCAGCTGCTTAACCTGTCATGCTGGAGCCCCAGGAGAAGCCCCCCCCTCCACATGGAGCAGTTACCCACAGCCAGGCATCTGGGGGCTTCCAGAAAGTAGAAAAATACTGCTTCCATAGCAACTGGGCTTCCTGAGCCACAGGCCTCGCTGTGCACTCGTGTGGGGCACGTGGGCCACATGTCCGGGGACCCGAAAGGGGCCCAGGCCTTGGTCTGCCTGTTTCACGGAGCCTGCAGTGGAGCTCCTTAAACGATTAGGCAAAGCCAGGGCCAGAAGAGCCAGGGGGGAACCCAGCCAACTTAAGCATTAACTCAGAAGACCCGCAGGGCTCATGGACAGAGCTCCCCAGCTACCTTCCCTCAGTAACGATGTCAAAACGAACTGCAAGCAGATTAACTACAGTTGCAGGCTGCTCAGAGGCGGCTAGCAGGGAGCCAGAAATGCAGCCACAGCAGGCCCGGGCAGACGGCTGGGGGCGGGTCTCGCCTCACCTCCCCAGCACCAGTCACCCCTCCTCAGCATCCTTCTTTCCCAGGTTGCAGACCACAAAGGCAAGGGCACCAGTGAGAGAGAAAGAGAGAGACAGACAGACAGAAGCCTAGCAGGGGTCGGGGGACTGGGCCTCTGCCCACGGAGCACGCAGAGCTGTGCTCAGACGTACAGACGTCAGCTGGGTAAATGCTGATAAGGCATCATGAACTTGCCATCAGGGAAACCCATCCCTGCCCTGTGACCCACTGGTGCCCACGGTGCGGGCCGTGTGAAGAGGAAGGGCATGGACCCCGAGGACACTCTCGACGGTCCTCTGCTCTGCTCTGCTTGTCTGGGCCAGGCAGATTCCCTCTTCTGTTCTGTACCTGACAGTCAAGGTGAGACCCCAGAGAACAAAGGCTGGGGACGAAGAGAAGCAGAGCTGCGGCTGGAAGGGCTCTCCTGGGGGAGACACAGCTCAGAGACACTGCAGGGGCTGCGCTTCCCTTCTCTTACCATAAACATTTTTTTTTATGGTAAGAGAAACTCATCCTCTGTGGCAATCTGCTGACAGCCTTGAAACATGCAAGGATGGGCCACGGGGAGAACGGAGAAGAGAGGGAGATGAGAGAGAAAGCAGAAAAGCCACTGTCCCAATGCCACAGCCCCTCAGGGAAGGCCCAGGGCAGGCGGGCAAAGGGCAGGACTGCCCATTTACCAAGGTCCTCTTGGCCCAGGCCGCAGGGCTGGCGGGGATGGGGCACTGGGGCAGGAGGACGCCAAGCCCTGCGATCCACCCTCCTGGCCAGCAGGGGACCCTCCCCCAACCGCTCCAGGAGACTCAGCTCCCTCCTGCCCAGGACCTGAGGCCAGGACGTGGAAAGTGAAATCTGATCCCCAGGTATGCGGGCCGGGGGAGGGGGTGACACAGGGGCCATTAATCAAAGGCAAAAGCCAAGGAGAAAATTACAGCGCTGAGATGACTGCACTGAACACGGTTCTCTCCCCTTGCAGGCCCCCAGCCCCGACTGTTCGAGTCTCTACATGCCCACACCTGGCTCTGTGTGTGTGTGTGTGTGTGTGTGTGTGTGTGTGTGCGCGCTCGCGTGCGCACACACGGGGGAGCAAAGACACAGGCAGATCGTGGGGAGAGGGGAACTGGGCTGAGAGGCCCAAGGCAGGCCAGGGGGCCTCCAAAGGGGAAGAATGATCCGGCCAGAGCGTACTAAGAGAGGGTGCTTCCCATCCAGCCCACCTTCCAGGCTGGCTTGCTGCCAGCTGCCCATGAGCGCAGGCCCCTCATCATCTGGGAGGCAAGCACCACATGGGGAGGGTGGGCAGCTGGAGGCGCAGCTGGACCCTCACACCCATCCCTTCCTGGCCCACCGAGGCACTTCCTTCCAGCCGCACATCTGAGGACAAAATCTTCCTTGTTTCAGTTTTTACTCAGAAGCAGGGGGAGGCCCAATGTGAGAGTGTGTCTGCTGCCCTACCCTGGCCCCTGGGGCCTGCACACAGGTTGAAATTTTATTAGGACAGCTAGAGGGTGGCTCATCGGTGAAAGGCACTCGTGAACTCATCTGTTCATCGAGTGGTCCTTCCAGGGCTTTAAATCTTATTTTCGAGTCCAGTTCAGTAACCAAGGAGCGTTCCAGGGTCACCCCCAGCCGAAACAGACCTTCTGATAAGCTTTCCTCTGGCAGAGGCCCATCAGCGCGGGACAGACCCAAATGTCCTGTCTTGATGTAGCAGCTCCTGGGGCCTCCCAGGCGGCTTTTGCCCCAGGCTGACGCGGTCCTGGGCGCCTGCTGAGCTTACTGGGCGAGGCAGGAGGCAAGAATGGGGGGGGCTTGCTCTACGTTGGGCACTGGATGTGGGGAAAACGTACCCACTGGCCAGGCGAGGCCACAAGAGGCTCACAGACGTGAACTCTCTTCCCAAGGCTCCGATTCCACTAGGCGACTGGCAGAGCCAACATGCGACACCCAAAAGCCTTCCCTGATCCCCTGAGGGCCAGTGAGCTGTATAAGTTTACTAATAAGCAGATCTGTCCTAAAGGGGCTGGGATTTTAATCTTCCTCCAGGGGCCCCATCGCTCCCCCTTGCCAATTAAGACAGCCAGGAGACCCTACCCAACTAACAAGGTCTGGCGGGGAGGCACACTCAGCAGGCTCGAAGCCATTGAAAACAGCACAGGGAAAACGTTGATATTTCGATTTCACGCTGGATGAGGGGGAAGAGAAGACACTTGACTTTGGAGCCAGAAGCTGGATGTCAGTTACCGCCAAGGCGATGCTGGCATCTGCCATTCCACCTGACACCCATCAGCAGGCTGCTGCCGGAGGATGTGCCACTCCTGTGAAATTCGGCAGACCTTCTGATGGGGTTTGAAATCCATCCTTCCACTGTCTGGCTGGTCCTCCCGCCTGCCCGAATCCTATAGCTTTTGGAGGCAGGGTCTAGTTTTCCAGGCCTCAGCTGGGTGCCCAGCCCTGGGAGTAGCAGCTGGGAGAACACAGGAGTGGGTGTGCTGCCTTGGGCCCCCAGCCCTGCACCCTCCAGGGGCTAAGGGGAAGGGAGGAAGGAGGTGTAAAGGGCTCCCTGCAAACTTTTAAAGGTGCAGGCCATGCCTTCAAATGTGAAGTGTCCCCCCACCCCCATCTAAGCATCAGAAGAAGATGGAGCTGCTCTGGTGGCGGCTGCAGAGCACCCCACCCCCTGGAAACCCCCCAGCCCCGGGGGTCACTGATGCTGCAGTGACCACACCAGGGCAGGGGAGTGTGCCAAGGCTCTTCCTGGAATTCCTCACTTAGGTATCTTTGCTCTGGCTATAACACCCACCTCTGAGGACCCTCTCCTGTGTCCTCTCTTTCAGGGCACAGGTCATCCTGAAGCACCCACCCTCCCATACCCCCCCACCAAGCAAAGTTTAGTTTGAGCCATCAACTTGGGGAGGGGCCTTGGCGCTGAGGATGACTTTCCATAAGCCAGCAACAGGAAGCGGGGCGGGGGGGGGGGGGC